CCACGTCAGCATGTGATTGTGCTTGTGGTTGTGGTTGTGGTTGTTGTTGTCGTGGTTGTCGTGGTTGTGGTTGTCGGGGTTGTGGTTGTCGTTGTTGTGGTTGTCGTTGTCGTTGTCGTTGTTGTGGTTGTTGTTGTTGTTGTGGTTGTCGTTGTCGTTGTCGTTGTGGTTGTTGTTGTTGTGGTTGTGGTTGTGGTTGTGGTTGTCGTTGTCGTTGTGGTTGTTGTCGTTGTTGTCGTTGTTGTTGTCGTCGTCGTTGTTGTGGTTGTCGTCGTCGTTGTCGTCCTCGTCGTTGTCGTTGTCGTTGTGGCCATCGTCGTCGTCGTCGTTGTTGTCGTTGTCGTCGTCGTCGTTGCCGTTGTTGCTGTGGCTGTTGTGGCCGTTAGTGGTGGCTGTTGGTGTTGGTTAGTGGTGGCTGTTGTGGTGTGGTTGTGGTTGCGGTGGTGGTGGTGGTGGTGGTGCTGGTGCTGGTTCTGATGCTAGTGTAAGCGGAAGCATCTCTTGCTTTCTCTCTGTGTTTTTGTTTGTGAAAAGTATTTTTCCATCTTTGTCTCTCTCTCTCTCTCTCTATCTCGCTCTCTCTGAGTGTGCAAGTTTTGGCAATAGAGATTTCCTGCCAGAGTGGGTGGCATTGGAATTCCCTCAGGTTGGAGCGCTTGGAGAGGAGTGCCTGGAACCAGCCGTGCACTACATGCATCAGAATGGCTCGTTTCTTTGCTTTGGTTAGTTTTGCAGGCAAGTTAAAATCTATTGCGAGAAGCAGATTTCAAAGCCGAGGCTCTGGAGCACTTCCAACAGAACGATCACTCGCAGCCTGCATACATGTTTCAGCAACTGCATTCATTTCTGCAGTTCTGAATTGGTCAGCAATTCCAAGCTGCTTCTTGAGGTCAAGCTCGGCGCTCCCAAACCAGAGGCCCTGTGAGCGGAGTGAAATCGAGCCCGGCTGCTTGCGCGCTTGGCAGGAGCTCTCGACTGCACCTACCTATCGCGCGTGTGGTGCTGGGCTCTTGGTCACGTGAGGGAGCCACTGCAGTGGTAGGAAAAAGTCGTCAAGCGCTGAGGGAAATGCGTCTACGCGGTGGCCGAGGCAGGATCACAGCCCAAGGTTTCCTCGCATCGATGGTTGGCACCATATCGGCAGGCCGATGAAGGCGGAACCTCTTACTGCACCGCTTGGAGGCGCTTCCGATGTTTGGATGCGGCTTCGGCTTCGCTCCGGAAGCGACCAGTATCAGGTCATCAGTTCTGCCCAACAAGGCGACGCGCTGAGGGACTCAGGACCTCATCTTTCACATGTGCGTTTATTGTAGGGACTCGGGTCTTTTGCAGGGTTTTGTGACTGTTCTTGAGCCTCGGCAGTTTCCTGCTGGAATGAGGCACACGGTGCCCGCTTCGCGCAGTCCGATGGTGGTCTGCCCAAAGGTGCCTTAGTTCGAAGGTGGTTCACTTTGAGTGTGGCCGCAGGCGTGTGAAGTCAGCCAAGGCAATCCCCATGAAGTCAGTCTGTTCCACTACAGCGTCCAAAATGCTGCCGGTGCTGGAGTCAGCCAACCTTCTTTTGTTTTGCCTGTTCGCGATCGGGAATGTTTGGAAATGAACCAATGGAATCAGTTTTTCAGGAAACTAACCTCATTTCCTGAGCACCAACAAGTAGCGCACAGCTTTCGATTCATTTCATTGAAAATTCCGGCAGGCGCAAAGATCCCGCCCGCAGATTGTGCAAGTCATGCCTTGCCGCGCTCCGAGTGCCCATTGGCGGGCGAGCATTGAGCCGTGCCGCTGCAACCCCAGGCCCCCTTTCTTCAAAAGCGTCTAAAGGCGCTTTCGATGCATTTGACAAACTCTTCTGCATGATTTGCTGCAGGCGTTTGCCCTCCGTTGTGCGGTGATGCCACGTGAGCAGCCAAACCCCAGTCGAACAGGCCGATGTTGTAATCAGTTGTTTAGGAGCTTACGCAGATGAGGAGTCTATGGGACATTGGTGACACTGCTTGATTGGAAGAACATTTTTGGCGGCAACGCTTTGAGTCATCGCGAGAATGTGGGCAGAGCCCCAGTCGCGGGGCCAGGTTAAGCGGTTAAGCGGTGTCTGGTCAAATCAGAAACTGCTTGGTTCTGCTTGGATTGTCTGGACGCTCGAGTCATCACAAGCTTGAAGCCCAAGAAGTCAATGCATCATCGCTTGTGTTTCTGTTGCGAGGGCTAGTCGTCGAGACAAACCAACCCCGGCTCGACAAGCTGCTTTTGTTCCCTCCTGCTTTGCAAGTAGCATGCAATGAAAGGGCTCAGGCTGACTTGAAAGATTTTTTGAGGGAGCGCAGCTTGTTGAGGGAGCAGCATGCTTGCTGCAAGTTAATGAAGCGAACATGCTAGGAAAGAGGCGATGGTTGCCCTTCAAGATACAGCAGCATGGCCTGCTGCAAAGTTTTTTGTTGACCACACAGGAAGCTCTGGCTTATTTCAAGTGCTGTTCTCGTTGGAAAACCGTGTTGCGTATAGGCTCGAGAAACTGCAGACGGGTCGTGCATCCGGCCTCGCGTGCGCGACACCGAGAAGGGCAGATTAGATTGAAGGTGTGGAGTTGGCTTAAGCTGTGCCTGCCGCGACAACAAGCAAAGCACCTTGTGATGTCATTCGCCAGATTCCCGTCGCGCCGGCTTCGTGTTGAGTCTCAGGTCTGCCAAGATGACTGCTCATTTGAAGAAGAATCGCAAGATGCACGCACATCGAAAGAGAGGCAGTGGAGCATGTAGACAAGAAGCTCCTTGGCAACGCTTGCCTTACCCTTGCAGGTCATGGCCGAATCGGAAAGCACCGCAAGCATCCTGGCGGTTGCGGTAACTCAGGTGGTCAGTGTGCATCTCAGACCGGCCTCTGCCAAAGGGCCATTGGCCGAACACATGCTGCGATTGAGGCACCACCACCGTATCAACTTCGATAAGTACCATCCGGGCTACTTTGGAAAGGTCGGCGTTTCGATCATTTGGACACTTGCTTGGAAGAGAAGCATTTGCAGGTTGGCATGCGGAACTTCCATCTCATCAAGCATGGCAAGGCGGTGATGATAGGCATCCAAGCAAGGGGTGCTCTTGGCATGGAGCAGGTCATCCCCACCATCAACGTGGAGCGCTTGTGGTCGCTGGTGTCAGAGCGGACGCGCGAATATTACAAGGTGGTCTGCGCAGCAGCATCAACTCAAGTCGTACTTGCACCTGTTCAAAGCACCGTGCTAGGACAAGACCGACAAGGCCCCAGTGATTGATGTGATGAAGGCCGGTCAAACTGAATCATTATATTTTTTTGAAATGGTCCTTCAGGTTCTTTGTCCTTCTGGTCCTGTTGCTTTGAGATGTGGTTCTCAGGCCGGTTACATGAAGGTGCTGGGCAAGGGCCAGCTGCCGGAACAGCCTGTCATCGTGAAGGCGTGCTGCCTTTGTTGTTTGCCATTTTCACTAACATCGAACCTGAGATCCAAGTGCACATAAGCCCCAGGCGCGCTACTTTACCAAGGAGGCAGAAGAAAAGATCAAAGCTGCAGGCGCAAATCCACTCCAGTGCTTTTTTGTCCTTTTCACCTGGATCGCAGGTGGCGTGTGTGTTCTTTGCGCCTAAGCCCCAAGAGGATGCTACGAAAACAAGTCACGAGCCTGTGCTGCGGAAAATCGATCAGTGCAGCTGTTTCATTTTAAGCCAACTGTCGCGGCATGATGAGTCTGCAAGATCTCGACGTTTCCTTGGCATGCGCCGACAGGCTCAAGGTAGGCATCTCGTGTGAACAGGGAGCCGAGAGCAACCTGGGCAGCAATCAGCTGGCAATGATTGGGCTGAGAGTCATTGGAGAGATCTTCACACTTGCAGGTCCTCAGAATGACCGCGCATCTGAAGAAGAATCGCAAGATGCACGCGCACAGGAAGAGAGGCGACGCTGCAAGACTTAGGGTTTTGGGTGGCAACATGCATAGCAGTTGTCTATGTCAAAGTTTCATGCTGTATATTTTTTTCGATCATTTTTTGGTTGCTTTTGCCCCATCATAGGCTTGCCATTGTCTTCATGATGCGGTTTCTGGCACTGGAACATGCTGCCGTGATCGTGATGCTTTGAGTTGTGGCAAGAGCGTTCAGAACGATCCCCAATTCAGGATCCAACCAGCTCCCCAATTCGGCCATCGATTCCCCGCTCCTGCAAGAAACAAGTCGAACGCCTGAAATTTCCGTGATCCGAGGGACTGGGGCTCGATGGATTCTTTTCAGGGCGTGTCTCACATGGTGTTTGACCCCCCAAAGTGGTGGTTTTCCTTTGGGCTTCCACTTAACGCCACCAAAAAGGGGTACCATCCCAATCACTAGTTTGGGGGGGAGGGGGCGAAGTGAACAAAGACACATGCTAATTTGATGTGGTTTCCATGGAGAATGTTTAAGTTTCTTGAATCCAGACCGGGTGCACAAAATGGAGGGGGCCGCGCAAATCGCAATGGGGCGGTCGGGCACACAGCCTGCCAATTGGAAGCAACAGAAACCGACAATTAAAGCCAGCGCTTGGGTGCATTTGTTGAGCTGCAATGTTGAGTTAATTGATCAACCGTCGCCTGAAACGAAGGGTATTAGTTCGTGCACATCCTTCGCATAATTATTGTCATGCTTGTGGTATCTTCGGTTGCAGGCCACGGCAGAATCGGAAAGCACCGCAAGCATCCTGGTGGTTGCGGAAACTCAGGTGGTCAGTGCGCGTCCAAGATTGGAGTTTACATGGCTGTATGACGCAGCCCGTGTTTTGTGCCAAGCAAGCACATGGGCATGCTCCATGACACGTGATAGTGAATGAGATGTGCTGAGAAGAAGTTACCAAGGCATCACCACCGCATCAACTTTGACAAGTACCACCCTGGGTACTTTGGAAAGGCTCAATTCAGTGAATTGAGAATATGTTTTGGGCCATGTGGACAGTATTGTTATCAGATGTTATTATGTGTATGGTCTCATGATTTTTGATAGATGTT